TGTTCACACCCCCCCCCCCCCCCCCCCATGTAAAAACGCCACATTAAGCACAAATCCCCACACATTAGAAGAATAATCTCCTGGGAAAGCTGAGAATCATATGTTTTTACAAGAAGAATCTCCAGCACCGTTTTAGAGCATCTGCTTGCAAGATTTGGGACTTCCGTCTTGCCTAGGTGCCATGGGTGAAAGTTGGGCTGTAATGCAATTTTAAAATAAAATTCTCCTAATGTATTAGTTTGTTTTGTCTATTAGTACATTGTTTGTGCATGGGGAAGGGGGCCTTGAATTATGAGGTTCACTATAATAACTACATATAATTTAGGCAATATATACAGAGATGTGTATAATACTTGGTGGTTATGTGATGAGTAATAAACGCAGCTTACCAACTTGGCCAAATACCACAACTTGTCTGGGCTGTATTTGATCTGCCTCCTGCAATGGTATACCTCCTTTAAGAAAAAAAAAATGTACAAAGATTTTACTGGTCGTGTTGTGAAATTATCTGAAATTGAACACTGTGAACAAATCAGATGCCGACATACTGAATCCAGATCTCTGCACTGCTGTTCTAAACCTGCTGAAGTCATGACAAGGGAGTGCTACTCTCCCTGAGTAAATAGTGTTGATCTCCTGTGTCCTCTTCTGCAGCTCAGTGGTTCCTTTTGTGGATCCCTATGTCACTATTGTATCCTGCAGTGACATATGGATCACCAGGAGAAGCCACTGAGTAAAGCAGGGGATGCTGGAGATTAACACTCCAGAAGTGTCCGTATCTAATGAAATTTTAGGGGACAATTTCTCTTCATCAGAGCGCCATTTGTCCGCAGCTTAGGCAGCAGGCGAGGTGTGTATTTGCTTTCTTCTTTGTAACGTTATTTAGGTGACAAAAATAGGATTTTGGTACTCACCGTAAAATCCTTTTCTCTCCGTTCATTGAAGGACACAGGGAACAGATCGGAGATCATGTACTGTAGGGTAATATCGTCACCTGCAGGAGAAGGACGCTAGGCACAAAAAAACTAAAGACCAATTACAGCCTAGGGGCGGCCCCTGCCGGCGGCCAAACCCCCCACCTGCTGACAAGTCTCCAGTTTAGTAACAAGCAGTAAAGGAGTACACACCCACATAGAGGGGCGGGCCCTGTGTCCTTCAATGAACGGAGAGAAAAGGATTTTACGGTGAGTACCAAAATCCTATTTTCTCTCCCGTTCATTGAAGGACACAGGGAACAGATCGGAGATCATGTACTGTAGGGACGTCACAGAGCAGTACCAAAAAAGAGGGGTGGGCCAACAGAAACAACAAACCCAACTAAATAAAAAAATCCCCTCAAACGGCCGCCTGCAACACTTTGCGCCCCAAACCAGCATCCGCAGATGCCAAAACATCCACCTTATAAAACTTGGCAAAGGTGTGAACAGAAGACCAAGTCGCGGCCTTACAAACCTGAGAAACGGAGGCACCATGACGAAAAGCCCAAGATGCCCCAACAGCCCTTGTAGAATGGGCCGTAACAGAAAAAGGAGGCTCACGCCCCTTAATAGCATACGCCTGAGAGACCGTGTCGCGAATCCATCGAGAGATGGTAGCCGACGAGGCAGCCCGGCCCTTCCGGGGGCCATCTGCAACGACAAACAGGGAATCCGATTCCCGAAACGCAGCCGTAGCACTCAGGTAAACCCGGATGGCGCGGACCACGTCCAGACAGTGCAGTGCCCTCTCCTTCCTGTGGACAGGCTTCGGACACAAGGAAGGCAGGACAATGTCCTCATTGAGATGGAAAGCCGAAACTACCTTCGGCAAGGAAGACGGCCGAGGCCGCAGAACTACCTTGTCCCGATGCAGGACCAGCAATGGGGACGAGCAAAAGAGACGCCAATTCCGAAACCCTGCGGATCGAGGTGACCGCCACCAAAAAGGCCACTTTTTGAGAGAGAGTCAGAATCGGAATGTCCCGCAGAGGCTCAAAGGGAGATTCCTGCAAATCGCTGGTCATCCAGGGGAGACTCCAAGGATCCGAGACATCCAGCCTGTCGCCCGGACAACACTTGCTAGAAGAATCCTCTGAAAAAAATCAGGAAGAAGCAGGTAAGAATACCGAGGAAAATTCTTAGCTCCTTACTCCTGACGCTAGGCAAAAAACTGGAGACTTGTCAGCAGGTGGGGGGTTTGGCCACCGGCAGGGGCCGCCCCTAGGCTGTAATTGGTCTTTAGTTTTTTTGTGCCTAGCGTCCTTCTCCTGCAGGTGGCGATATTACCCTACAGTACATGATCTCCGATCTGTTCCCTGTGTCCTTCAATGAACGGGAGAGAAATGACTTTATGTAAACTAGGATTTATCCTTTTAAAGCACAAATAAGTCCTATATTTTTTTGGCCACAAAGCAAGACACTTTTCTTGTGCAGAAAAGACGATTAACTTTGTTTTGCTATGAAGGCAAGACAACATATGTTATAGAAAGCACCTAATGCTCTTGTTTTTAGTAACGGCGGAAGAAAGGTTAAATTTAAAGTGACAGTAAATTCAGTTGTTAAACCTTAAAAATGCATTCGGGTACCTTAACTATCAGCAAAACAATGTATCTTATTTGTGTATCACTCAGCTGAAGAACCTCAAATCATCTCTGAATTCGCGCTGGCACTGTCCTTCCTCCTGCAGGGTGGCTACTTTTGTTCCCCATGGTCCCTGTGTGTGTTGTAAAGTAGCCACCGCACCAAGCTTGCTCCCAACTACAATCTCAATACAACTTAGTAAACCAAATGCGAGACTGTAGTCCATCACAGGAGGGAGCTTAGACTGGTGGCTACTTTACAGCTCTCCAGAAGGAAGGACAGTGTCAGCACCAATTCAGAGATGATTTGAGGATTTACAGCTGAGTGATACACAAATAAGATACATTTTTGTTATTAGTGAAGGTAACTGAATGCATTTAACCTCTGATTTTAATATCACTTTAAGTTGATTTTTAACAGATAATTTAATTACACAACATCAGAAAGTTCCATATGCATCACGTTCTGGACTCACCGCTGGCCTTCGAGGCTCATCAGGAAGTTGAGGCGGGTACACAATTCTGTTCTTCCACTCCCAATTATGTTTGTCCAGAGAAGCAGTGGTGTGGATACAGCTCCGGGACAGCATGCTGCCTGCTGCTGTCACCCTAAAGGACAATGCAGCGGGAATAAACTAATACATCCTTATATGACAGCTTGTTAATATATACTCTATTAAACTTTAACCTTAAAGTAGGCCCTGTTGCTGAATAAAACTAAATCAAATACTCACCTATCCAGCTGTCTCCGTGCTGCCAAACACCACTACAATGAAGGGTAACAGGAACATGAAGACTCAACAGAAAGCAATACTTCCAAAAGTGTTGCTTTGCTTGTCCACCACTGTGCTCATTGGTCCCTCCCAACGACCCCTACATCACCACAGAACAAAGAAGTAATGTAGGGGCCAGCGTATAGAAAGCACAGCAGGACGCTTTGGTTCCTCTTGTTGTCCACTACATACCAGAGTCCTGTCGTGCCGTAGAAGTCGGCAAAAAGAACCACAGTGCCCAGTTGGGGACTAGCTACCCAACACACCCAGAAGTGTCAGATAGCAGCAGCATCCGGATTTCTTAAATGAGAGTGAAGTCAGTGAAGTCAGTGAAGTTTTAGAGGCAAAGTCCAACTTTAAAAAAATAAATAACTGCACACCTCCACAAAAGACAAATAATGGTGCATTTATTATTTTTTACATTGGAGTCAGTAAAGCATTGCAACTCTGATCAGTGGATTGCAGGTGCAATGCTCTGGCTCCTGCAGATGCTCCCTCCCATCACCGCACTTGTCTTACATTGAGAAATACAAGTCCCTCTGCAATGGCTGTCTGTGTGTTTCTGAATGGTCTCTGAATGGATGACATGGCTGTGTGGGCGGAGCCATGCACAAACGTATTAGATTCAAAAGTATACAGCAGCCTGCGTTGAGAAGAACCCTGTCATTCAGGTATTGAGTCTTGAGTAGTGACATGGGGATCAGAGTTCTATTTATAGTGTGTATTGAGCCGCCGAGTGATATGGCACCACATCCCCATTTAGGACCAATAACAAAGAGATACACTATTGGGGCACAATTGGAACCAAGTTGAATTGTGGTTCGTCATAATGAGTGGTCTTGGGAGGTTATATCTTTTGGTGCAATTATGCAACTATGTTATGTACAAATCATGATATATCATGTGTCCTGTTGCTGTAATATTTACCTGTGCATTAGATATTTTTAAGTGTTTATATGTAAAGTATTAATTCATTTTTATTGTACATAATGTTTTTAATTGTTGTGTGTGTATATATATATATATATATAAACACAGGCATTTGACACAATCAGAAATGTAGAACGTCAGTGTCTTGCGTAGGCTACAGTACTAGGAAAGAGGGAAAGTAGGAGAAATGGGTCACGGAAGAGGGGTGTGTAAAGGATCCTCTACTACAGGGGCCTTTATGAGGAGTTGTTGGTTTTTTTTTAATGGGTCGCCTTTACATACCAGGAAGTATCACCGTTTGTATTAAGGATGCACCAATACCATTTTTTCTATATCAAGTACGAGTGCCGATAACGGTACATGTGCTAGCATGGAACCGGCTTCCCGGGCAATCAGGAAGCTGGCAATCAGCATCAAGCCTGCCAAACAGCAGGAAGCCGGGTGGTGAGTTATTACCCGCCACAGCGGATTCCTGATTGGCCGGGAAGCCGGCTCCATGTTCCCTCCCGGCACTGCCAGTCGGAGGAAATCTCCCTTTGACCTGAAGTTCCAGTATCGGAGCATTTGGGCGAGTACTCGCCCAAATACTTGGCATCACCACCGATGCCGATACTAGTATCGGTATATCACTAGTTTGTATAGTACCTTTCTGAACTGTACCATTTAGGAGGAAAAAAAAAAAAAAGGGGACTACATAACTTTACTTTAGGGCTCATTCACACCATCTGCGTTCTGGCTGCGCTGGCCGATTTTTCCAGTGCAGACCGACCACAAGACAAGGCAATTTGCCTTGTCATGGGTGTTGACAGTTACTATGTTCCAGTGGTGTGTGTGCTTAAAAACAGTACAGCACGGCGTGCAGTATTTTTTTTTATTTTTTTTTTAAAGCACACCGCAGTGAAACATGGTACAACTGCATTACACTGCAGTGAGCCCATAGAACTTAATGAAATGTCACTTGTGGCATGTCAATAAAGTTCTAACAAAAAAGAAAGAGACAGTGTGATGCAGCTTGATTGAGCGCATCGCCACTGTCCGGGCACAAAAACACCAGAAGCTGTGGATGAGCGCGGCTGCTGGTGTGAACAAGCCTTCAAAGTGAATCTGTATTTAGTCTAAAGTCAAAAGATCAATCCAATCAAACTAATATTTCAGTTTTTGGTAGATGCCGCATAGTGACTATCACAACAACCCATGGTGCAACAGCAGATCAAAGAAAACAGCAATAAGATTTCCAGACCTCTTGGGCTTCGGCTATCTCAGGAGAGACAAAGTGGCTATTTGAAAAATAAAAAAAATCCTACTTGTTAGAAATAACTTAGAGGAGACTTTATTTTTACCAATAATATTAAAGAATTATGAGGCGAGTGATTTTCAGCCTCATAATCTGAGCCGACCTGTGACAATGAAACACATACCGGCGCTTGCTCACTTCTCGATCTAATCCTGCAGAGAGCTGTGACTGTCACTCACAGCTCCCTGCAGGGATTCCCGCCCTCCCCTGTCCGATCCTCCAGCGCTAACTGGCGGAACGGACGGGGGAGGGTACAGCTGGCTCTGCCTCTAGATAGGCAGAGCCAGCTGTCAGTCACTCAGCTGGGCGGATCCAGACAGAATTGTCGAGGATCCGTTCCAGCTGCGGCGTCTCAGTATACCGCGAGCTGTAGCTCACGGTATACTGAGCTTTGGGTGGCGGGAGGATGCCAGTTTGTGTCCTCCCGTTACCATTGGGAGAACTATGGGGAAAAGCCCTAACCCCATAGTTCTCCTTTAATTTCAATTGGTTGTACCCCAGCTGCAGCACAAGACCAAAAGTAGCAGGTTAAACAAAGATGCTTTACTCACCCTCGATGGATCCGGAATAATGGCCCCCACAAAGCTGTGGAAAAAAAAAGAAAGTTATATTTAGTATTTCTAATACAGCTTGCAGTAACAGGACCAGCAGATCTGAAGTCATTTGCTAACTTTAGGTGTGCTTTAGGGCTTGTTCACATCATATACAGTGCGTTCCAGCGTGGTTAGCTGCTAGAACGCACTGTATCGCAAACCAGCTGGCTTCCTGCATGTGGCTGCGTTCTGGTCCAGTGCGATCTGTAAAAATGCTGCATGCACTATTTTTTCAGATCACACTGGACCGGAACACAGGCATTGACGTGCCACGCATTCTGGTGCGGGCGATCGCACTGCGGATGGGAGGGGCATGGCTGCAGGGCTATTGACTTCAATGCACCTTCCTACCCCTGAATGCAGGAAGCCGGCTAGGATGCAATACAGTGCGTTCCAGTAGCTGACCGTTCTGGAACGCACTGTATATGGTGTAAACAAGCCCTGAAAGACTAACTTTACCCTTATCTTTAAAATAACAAAGACCTCTTTAGAAATCTTCAAACAGATACTTCCAGATAATTGCCGGGTTTGTATTCTTTACATAAATTATTTTTCCTTTCCTCCCCATTCTTCTCACAGTGGCCATTTTTACTAGGGGCAGATTATTCCATCTTCCTTTACTTCCTGGAACATGTAACCATGCACATTATCTCAGGGAAGAAAATGCCTTTCCCTGAGATCTTGCAAAATTTTGCAGATGGATTTCCCAGGTGATATAATCATCCCAGGATGCAACGCTTGGGCACATTACATCACTAATGCCCAAGAGGATCAGGAAGTGGAAAAACAGTCATTGTAAGTAAAAGAAAAATATGTCTAACTAATGATTTCATATCAGCATGCAGCGCTAAACCCTGGTGTGATTTTTAGTGAAAGGAGATAAAAGGTCCACTTGTAGAAGGACTCGGATCTAAACCTGGCAGTTCTAAGTATAAAGCTGTGATTTGCACTTCCCTCTGTGACTGCTGTACAAGAAACTACAGCTGTGCAGCAGCCTCAGCTTGTCCCGGTTCATTGAGCAAGTGTCCTCTGCAGGACCTGCTCTGAACATTGTAAAAGGAACTTCCCTGACATGCTGCAGGGTTTTACGCAGGGACAGGAATGGTGACAAAGAAGAATGTTACAGCAGGAGATCTCTGGATGTAAATCATGGTGTTATACTTACCTCCTGCACCCCTCTACCCAGAGATTCTATGTATGTAGAGTGCTGCATAAACATAAATAGAATAAAAGCCGGCATTCCCAGGTCTTTAGATCATCCAGACATTCCCATAGTGCGTACAGTCTCTTGTCAGCAATCTGAAAACCGCTGGAGAAGCACTTCTCACCTATGATGAGCTGTTCACAAACAACAACTGGATGCTCCCCTCATGTACAGAAATCTGAATATAAAATGTCAGTACTGAGAAGTTCCTTCTAGTCACCAAGCAGATTCAATCCTGCCTTAGATGTTTGCTTGCTGGATCACCAGTCACAAGTCACAAGTCAAAGACACAACACTGGCTTCAAGGAAGGATTGCCAGCAACTAGGGATGCACCGATGCCGATACTGAGTATTTGTGAACCGGCCCTAATAGTAAATAAATGCTTTTACAGGTACTCATACTCACCCAAATGCTCCCAATACCGGAACTTCCAGTATCAGGAAGCCAGGGCGGCGAGTCATTACAAGCCACCCGGCTTCCTGATTGGCCGGGAAGCCCCTCGGAGCACCAGGGGGCATGGAGCTGGCTTACCAGCCAATCAAGAAGCCTTTTAGATTGTAAGCCCTCAGGGGCAGGGCCCTCCTTACCATCTTGTCTTGAATTGTATTGTAATTGTAATGTCTTCCTTATATTGTAAAGCGATGCGCAAACTGTTGGCGCTATATAAATCCTGTATAATATTAAATAGGGGCAGGTAATGACTCACTCTCCGATTCCTGATTGGCCGAGAAGCTGGCTCCCTAACGGGACTTCCGGTATCGGTATTGGCGAGTACTGAAAGAAAAACATCTGTACTCCTACTCCATACCGAAACACGAGTATAGGTGCATCCCTACTAGCAACCCTGTGTAATGATTTCTGAATTACAGAGGATGGAGACGGATTTCAGCACAGCTGATTATCACTGACAATTAATATAGAGCAGCACTAGCTGCAGTGTTTCCTGCTTAGCATTGATGGCTCACTGACTGGTTGCTCCACAAATTAAAGGGTATCTATAGTCAAAAAATACAAAATAAATCTGTATCTTCGTGTTGAATTTCCATAATCGATGTTTGTAAACGTACTTATTGAAGAGGCCTTATAGAGGATGTACTTCCTCAATGCACGGACATTGTTTCACTTTGTGAATATGCACTGCCTTGAATCCCAGCTCTCGCAAAGCATGCCTTCTGAACTACAACGTTATCATTGCTTGCAGGGAGCAATGTATTATGGGTATGCAGTCTTGAGAAAGTGAGATTGCATTACATCAAGCAGCAGGGAAAGAGATGCAAAGCACACTGGGGGTACCAGGACATTGATGAAAGTGATGGGCAGACGGAAGGCAGCACGCACTACATAAAAGGGATTTTTTTCAAGTAAGCTTTGAGTGCATTCTCAAAAACAACTCTAACAGGATAATATATACTGGGACTTCACATCTCCTTTTAAAAATATTTTTTTAGAAAGCCTGTAATACTAACAGTCTGGTGCCATCCCCTACATGGCGCTCCTCTGGGCTGAATGGCGGCCAAAACTATTTAACCCAGATACTGTGAGACCAGGCTATCACAGACACAGCGCTCGGGCCTGAGCTCCCGCAACACACACACATTATGTGATCACCGTTCAGTTTCACTGGCAAAGCTGTTTTTGCATCTTTTGCACACATTTTAGGTCTAAAGATGACTAAAACCCCCCAGAATGATAGATTTTCAGAAAGCAGAAGCCCTGTAGAATATAACAGCGAGAGTTAAAATTGACTATATTGTGTGATATTAGCATAAATGTTTATCAAACCCAATGTATAGAACCGAATTTTTTGGTAAAATATAAATAAGGAGGTTGTGCCGCCCCAACAGGGGCATAGAATATGAGATGCATAGCCTCAATTAATATTAGCAATGTTATATAGATTAGAGTTTATATAGTGTGGTTTGCCTAACTATTTTCTCATAGCTAAATCTATGTGTTATCCTATGCTGCCATCTAGTGGCCTTTTGTTGTAATATAAATTTCTTTCTGTAATTATTCCTCATGTGACGACGTATTTCCCCCTAGTGTACGCCCCTTCCTTCTTCCTGTGTCATGGCCACAGTGAACAGCCACATGTAACAAGGACACATATGTAATCTGCACAGTACATAGGAAAGGCATCATCTTTTGACCGCACAATACTATCACCATTCATCTGTTGTTCCTATCATCTGCTGTACCCCTGATGTTAAAGACTAAACACCTCTTTTGAATGAATCGGTATTGACGAGTTCAGCTATCTGACAAGGATTGTCCGCAGTGAGTATATCTGCTTATACAGGCCAGGCATAGAGGTCTCAGCAAGGAATATATTTCTATCACAACAATCGGAGTCAGAATAGAGGTTATGCCGAGTATACAGATACCAAATATGCCATGCTTCAAAACTGTGCGCGCCCGTGAAAAAGCAAAAAAAAACGGCGGTACCCACAATAGTCTATAGGCAACACTGTACACTGATGTGAATGTGCAGTCTGTAAAGGCGCTGCGTAAATTGTCAGTGCTATGTAAACACCTTTGCGGCCGGTTCACACCACAAAGTCTGCGTTCCACATGCTACAGATCGCATTAATGTGCCTGCGTTCCGGATGCGGGCGATCGCACTGTGGGCTGGGGGAGTGGCTGCGGTGCCATTGACTTCAATGCACCGCCACACCCCCTTCCGCCCCTGAACGCAGGGAGCCGGCCGGCTTGCATACCAGTGCGTTCTGGAACGCAGACTTTGTGGTGTGAACCGGCCCTAATAGTAAATAAATAAATGCTTTTACAGGTCATCAGTTTAGTGTTAACGGTAAAATATTGACCCTAAAATTATTGCTCTCACGTCGGCATGCGCTGCGATACCTAAAATGTATGCCGCAATAGCTGTTTTACATATGAAGGCGCATTAAATGCGTGTATGTTAGTATGTGCGTATGCATGGGGAAAGGGGACTTCAAAAATATATATTTTTTTATTAACTTTAACTTGCTATCACATAGAGGGCTCACAAGTCCCCTAAGTGATAGCACTTTGGCGGTGACAGGTTTTCTTGAAGGACACATTAGGGGTTTATTAGATGCCTAATGTCCCCTTTGTAACCCACTGAGGCCAATCAAATTCCAGAGAATTTCTGGAGAGATCATTGCATGTGTACACACATCTGATTAAAGTAGAAAAAGAGAGGCAAAACTTTTTTTTTAGTTCTGAATAGAGTGGTGAGGGGTTAGAACCCATCAGAGGGAAATTCACTCTAACAGTCCTGATAATCTATGTCACTGGGAATGTAAGTGATGGTAAATCCAAAAATATTAAGCTGCCACCAGATCAGGAATAGAGGGGAAATCTTACCATGGGGACAGGTGTTCCTGTGACAACTGTTTTTGGAGTAGATTTCCCTCACACTGCAAAGATATCCTATCACTTCCTGTTTAGTCTACAAATAAGGAAGTGAAGGGAAATCTCCCCATTGAGACACAGATGGCAAACAAAACAAAAAAAGAGTGGTTTTTAACAATTACATACATACAAAAAAATATATATGTGTGTGTATACCTTTGTATGATTGCAACCTAAGAACAGACATTCTCCAGAAGGTCAGTCACCATTGGGCCTCATCTATGAAGGGAGCTGGTGAAATTCACGTTACCGCTAGCAACCAGAACCCTCCTTGGGTTTATGTTCACCTCAGGCCTGCAGAAATGCCACGCGGACTGGTTGCTATGGGTAACAACATTTTTTTTCCTTTTCACCCATAAGCCCCAGTATGAGCTCTGACCTGCAGACCCATGGGCCATGCTGGGATATGATTTGTATTCCCACACCCCACCTATTGCTTTACTATCCGACTCTGCAACGGTCTGAGACCCCCTCAGTCCGACCCCCGGCCCGCAATCACCGCTTCCCTGTGACACCCTCGCCCTCTCCCCTACTCACACGCAGTTATGGCCACCGCCATCTTGGACTCGCTTTACGGCACCTCCTCCGCTCTGCTCGCTCACATGGCACAGCCGGCTCTTTACGACAGGTGGCGGAGTGTAGAGTGGCTGCTGCAGAGGAGGTAAGAGGAAGGCTGTTCAACTCTGTACACCATGCTGACAGGGCATGAGGGGCTGCTGAGGATGGACTATGTGATCTGTGTGTATGGAGAATAGAATGATATACCTTATATATGGACAATACCCTCATGTACTGTGTAAATACGAATATCCTACTATACAGCGTATATAGGCAATGCTGTGTATTGGGACAATAGCCGGATTGATAAATACAGTGTATATGGACAATACCCTGATGTACTGTGTAAATACGAATATCCTAATATACAGGCAATGCTGTGTATTGGGACGATAGCCTGATTGATAAAGTGTATATGGACAGTATCCTAATATCCTGTATATACACACAGTCTCCTAATAATGTATATACTATTTAGACACATGCAATCTCCTAATACTATATCCTAATATGCGGTGTATGTGGACCATATCCCAATGTGCAGTGTATGTGAATCATATCCTAATATGTGGACCATATCCTAATGTGCGTTGTATGTGGACCATAGTCTAATATGTAGGGATGCACCAATACCATTTTTCCAGACAGAGTAATGGTACCGATACTTTTCCTCAAGTACTCACAGATACCATTTACTAATATGTTTTTTTTAGTGTCATGTGACAGTTTTTCTAAAACAATACAAACTAATGATTTTAGGACAGTGGTGGAGCACAAGGGCCTGGTCGCAGCTGCAAATGCTGCTCCCCTGGTAGTTCTGCCACTGACTCCAATCTGTAGAGAGACTACAAATCTCAGCAATGCAGAATACTACCAGGAAAGAGGAGTACAAATCCGAGCAATACATTATACAGCAATGTAGAATACCTCCAATGATAGAGTACAAAGCCCAGCAAAACATTATACAGCAGAATAATATGAACTGACATAGTCTGTGTTGCTCCAGGTTGGCGGCCTGATGTATCCTGGTGTCTGAGCAGGGCTGTATGGGGCTTCAGGTGGGTTGTGCGGGGCCTTACTAGGGGTTCGAAGGGTCTCGCAGGTGGGTGCGAGCAGTGCAAGTGCTGAAAAACTTTCCAACATGCTCCTTCGAATTTATTTTAGTCACTGCGGGCCAAAATCGATCTTCGGTTTCACCGCATCAACAATTAGAAAGTCACATGAATGTTCTGAAATCAATTCACTTTAAGTGAACTTTCTGTATTTGCTGAATAGCACTATATGTTCAATCACAGATTTCATTGTTGCTTAGAGTTTTTCCTTAAGACTGAACAATTTTGTACTGATTTCTTCTGCCTACATTTAGTGTTGTTTCCTTTTTGACATTTTCTATTATGTTCTTACCTTGCAGGTGACACAAGAATGGGCAGCCCGGATCGGATGCTCAGTGCATCCCCCAACTGGTACTGCAGTCGTGCCAGTGATGCAGCCGGTGGGCTCTTTGGGTTCACTGCTCGTAATTCTGTGTATTTGATGCGTATAAGCCCCCAGGAGCCAGCATTCTATGGTAATCTCTTACTCTGTCACAGTACCTCACTATAGACTAAATTCTGATTAATAAACATTAATTTTGTGTATCCAGTGTCAATAATACTTCTGTAGATATGCATCTGTTACAAAATGCCCCAGATTTGTGCAAACTTAAAGCAAACCTGTGCTTTGCTGTAACCCCCTCCTTCTCAATCCCCAGAAACTGGGTGAGTTGAAGGAAATACCCAGTACTTTTGAGCATGGAAGAACATGTGCAAGTCAGCACTGTCACAGGAAAGTCCATAGCTCTGTGTTTGCGACAACCCCAGCCACTTGTACCCAAGACAGGTCTTTTCTTTCACCCCTGGAGGCTGAACAGAGTGGGAGGGGCATAAAAGGCAGGTAGGTATGCAGCTGCAGCATTAAAGTAAACCTTTTAGCAAGGGCAAAGCACATATTACCATTTAAAGCTTATCTCCACGCATATAGATCAATAAACAGTATTATTAGATTCATGTGAGGCCTGTTTTACCTGCCAAGAGATTTTTTTTTTCTGACCATCCTATCTTGGGACTTACACAGCTATGCCCAACATCACAGTTGTGTCCAGTAGAGAGACGACTTGATTGTTTTCTGCTGCAGCTTCATTTTTACTAACAGGTCCCCTCCCCAGCCACTGGACAGTGAAAGGAAAAGCAGCTAATGAGCTAATCTAATTGTCGCTTTGCTCTAGCTTCCTGTCAGCATGCTTGTTGCACTATGGCACTGATTGTCAGCTT